GCCAATTTTTTTTTATCAGATAGGAGTATCCTCAGGATTTCTCTCGGATATTGCGTTATGGTTTTATTTCACTCACCGCGAAAAAGTCAGAACGAGAAATTTCTCGAGTTCTTTTCAATTTTTCGCTGTTGAAAAATGTTGACTTTTTCCAGTTTCGCTGGTTCTCCTTGATTGACAGCTATCAAAAAATGGCATGAAACTCAGATTAGAATCAAATCGTCGCATTCCGCCTTCTGTGGCTGTGAAGATGAAAAAGTGACAAAGGTTGTGGAGTTTTGCAGTTTCTAGTTCTAGGTTTTATTGAAAAGTAGAATTGCCCAAAGGGATCACTGATTAAGAATGGGGGAAGGAACTATGTCAGATCACTCGCCATTTAGTCAAACAGCTTGTTGTATTTTGGTCATTATTTATACCTATAGCAGAAAGGACGGCCACATTGTGATTTATCTGAATTCTAGTAGCGGAGATGAGAGCGCTCTTACGTCTCTGACTACCTTAAGGAATCCGACTAAGCTCTGTTAGGAGAAATCTACCAGCGTCCTATCACGAATGCTGTTCTGTTATGGGCTACGCTACTTACTATTCTGTTGTAGATAGCGTTTATAACCAGTTAAATAAATTGTATGAATCGTTAAATAGATGGTGGGACTGAATCATTAAACTTGGGCTATAAAAAGACTTTGACTATTTGAAGCGTTGTCGTAAGGTTTAGAAAATTATCAGTTTGTGTTACAGACTGTAACCACATACTGATAGTGTCGTTTACAACTCTGAGTAACTAAAACACTGTCGTCACATAACCGTAATAGTACAAAATGCGTTCAGAATCATGACTTTTTTCGTGATGTTTATTTCATCTAAATAGAAACTGTATTGGAATGAACTTTGCAATGGCTGAAATGAAGGTAGCAGTTGGTCCGGGAAAAAAATTTTGCGGCATAATTACGATTACAATAGTTACAGTCGAGCATAATTTGGAGCATAGTAGTCCGTTTTGGGGGCAGTGCCAAAAAGCATAATGCTCGATTTTAGGAGCATAATGTGTCAACCCCTACTTGTCACCCAGAAGTAAACCAAAAACCAATTGTTACTAGTTCGTACACGTTTTCCCGTGCTTTGGGTCAGCAACAAGTAATTACGTCGTGTCCTCTTCATTATCTCATGGGGGTGGCAAAGTGGGGGAGTAATTACTTCGAGTTTTGATTGGTTCACTGTACTGTACTTGTGCTTGGCTAGAGATTTTGGTAGTTTGGTTCATTGAATTTTCCCCGCGCTTGATAACGGTTGCACATTGTTTTAATAATAACAATTCTGACTGGTTCTGATCCGGTGCTTCTGAGTTGTTGATTTTGTTTAATTTGTACCACACTCAGTGTTTTAGTGTTGCCGTGCCGTTAAATGCCAATTTGTGGGTCAGGTAGCAGATCTCTCATAAATGGCTTGATACCCTTTGAGAGAACCATAAAACAAACAGCAGAAGCAATGCCCCGAGCCCAAAAACAATAACAGCTGCTACACTATGACGACAAAGAGAATTACTTACGAGATCTGCTACACTTCTGAAATTTTTGTTTGTAGGTTCAACTTGTCCATAAACAAAGAAAACCATGTGACATCGAATGATCTTTTTCCTGAGATTATGTTACGCACCAAGACTGGGATTCACTTGAATTTGACACCACGACTTCATACGTAACTGCTGCATTTTGCCACTTGAATTAATTAAGTCGCGCAAGCTCTTGTTCAGAATTATTTATATGCATGAGTCAAAAAGTCAAATCATAAAACTTACAGTTGTTCTTGTAAGTCCTCTTTAAGTCTGCAACATTGTGTTCTCTTGAGTCTTGGCTGTTATACATTTGTCGTACAGTGAAGCATTATTCAATTATCATTACTCGCATATTATTTATTGATTTATTCATTATTTGTAATTTATCATCAAAAAAGGCGGTTTTCGTATGACCTAGAAATTCACAAGTAACCACTCATCACGCAATCGCAATGGCTCGTCACGCAATTTTTCTTCCTCAAAATTGCATGGCGAGCGGAACGATAAGTGCATTCAAAGCCTGATATCGGTTTCTTTTGGATTCAGTAACAGCTGACTACTGCGCAAGCGTTTTCAAATTTCAATCCCCAGCCAATCAGTCATATTTTCCTTACCTGACCTGTACCTGTCTCGTGTCAGCACCAAGTTTCCTGCCCGCCTCCCTTCTCGGGGCCAATTGTTGGCCTGGGTTCGAAGCAGCATTCTAAGGACATGTGACAGCCGCCGATTTGACTATTTACTATTAAAAGTAGGCTGACTTTTTCCCTCATTTGATTACAAAATATTTATCTTTTGAAACGTATTTATCATTGTATTGTATTTAAGTGATTCTCTCGTTTACCTTGTTACTGGAGAATTGTTAATAAATTTTGTTGAGAATTATCAATAAACAAGCTGTACACTGGAACTCAAATACCTCATGAACTTTAAACGACTTCTGTTGTCGTTTCTGGATTATAAATTTTTTCACTGCCCAAAAAGCCAATATTCTGCCCCGAACACGGATTGGCAAACCGGTAATTCGGCAAACCCTGCGCGTACCGAAACAACCACGCCCGACTCGAAATAAACCTGGAATATCCTATTAAAATCCGGCCTGGTCTTTCGAATTCAATTGCATACGCCAGATATACATGCATCCTTGAATACACTGGAATACTGAAGGTGTAAGTTTTTTTTTTTTTTGCCCTTGCTGGAATACATAGGAGAATCGCGGATACTGCAAGTGCAGATGTTGTATAACGAAGCCTTAAATATTCCAGGATTTTATGTTGTCACGATTGTATATTTGAGGCTTGAATACAGTCCTTTCGAGGTTGTCAGATAATTTTAGTGGTACGTCAAGAATGCACTGAGCAAATGGGTTTGGTCAATTGTCGATGAAAACACGTTCTATAAATGGCTGATTAACTGAAGTTCTCCGAAATGGGTAAGTACTGTAGATTTTCACAACTTTACGGATAGAGTTGATATAACTGCAATGTATATCTGCACTATAGTAACAATTTGAAACAAAAATAACACAGAAATCAAAATTAATAGATAAAAAACTTTGTTTTATTGCAGGAAACGATTACACCTAGCAAATGAGAGAA